CCAGATTTGTCTTGTACGGAAGACGTCACCATGAGTCTCAGTGCTCTGCTTGCAAGTAGAGTGGTCACAATGCCCAAAGTGGTTCAGCTCCCTTCTATTTGAAGAGCAGGCAAGTTTCAGAATGATAGGTAACGTGCACATAACTCGAGTGACGAAGTGCGCAGACTGTACAGAGCCAGCTGTGCTTGGTGTTGCATAAGGGCCTACTTTTTGAGAAAATTTGCAAGGTGAATGTAACTTCGTGGAAAATGATCAAAAATCATGATCTCAAGTGGTCCGATTGGTGACGTGAGGCCGTCTACTGCTGCGATCATCTATTGATGAGAACCGGCAGTATTTTTGATTCTTTACTTGGGTAGGGCATGCTTTAATTCGAGCGATCGTTCTTGAACTTTAACGTTTTGGACTAAAGTATTTTGTTTGCATGACCGTCTGTTAGAATGAAGAGCTGCAGAGATGATCATGAGATACAGTTCTTCTTTGTTATATTCGCTATGACAACATGTATGCAACGTACTGTTGATTTGATGCCATTTGTACCTTATAAAAAAACTGTGCATGCGTGTACTCAGAATGCCTTACAATGCTGGAGACTGCATCTCATGCCAATTTACAGGCCATCTTCAGTCTGAGTTGACGAGAGGCGCACTGGGAAGGGGGAGTCAACACGCAATTTAATGTAACCATTTGGATTCTGAAAAACCAGATTTAAAGACTATAGGTATCGAGGTCCTGTTCCAGCTCGGATGAGCTGATATCCACAGTCATTTGAAGGATGGGTAACATTCTACAGGTGGCTACTTTGTTACAAATTCCGTCGACAGATGCGGCCATTATCTTTCTTTTACAGAATGCGTCATCAAAATGGCGCATTAGTAAGAAGTGACGATCAATGCAGTTGCCATGGTACAGCTTTTCAGGTCATGTGCATTTTCATAATTTGTGATGTTTGTTCTTTCCCATATGCAGTTCATTCCATCGCAAGTCCGTTTGAGTTGTTGTAAAGGACGTCTACGTCATACTGAAGTCAAAGACAATTTTTTGAGGAAGGAAATGGGCCCTCTCGAACTTGATATCTGGAAAACATTTGATTCAAAGAAAAAATGACCTTTGCAGTATGTGTCCGTTATCTTCATTATCAATCATTGAGTGACATGTCCTTCACATTCTGAAAGTTTCACTAAATCGAAGCACATTTCCATTGTTCCCTGGAAAATGTACACACGGGTGAGAAGAAAATCGGACTGCATGTAGTCAAATTGGTTGCGATGAATGTGAATGTGATGATCTCTATATCCATATCTACGCATTTGATATCACCTTTGATCCACCTTCACAACCTTCAGAAATTGCCTCACCTCTTTCTTGACCTGAATAAAAGATTGTGGATGAAACTAACTGAAGCAACTTGATCAAAGTACAGAATAAAGTCTAAGGTGCACAAGGAATCGACTATGCTAGGATAAAGGTGGAGGTGGAGAAACTCCAGACAGAAAAAGCCCACACAAATCCGAGGAAGGGATAGAATACTCTAAAGTGCTGTCCTTCCGAACGCGTGCAAACTGAGAAAGAAGGATTTGAAAACACGCAAGGACTAAAGACAGAAGAAAGTCACAACCAAGGACTTGAGTGTGCTACCTTATCAGGGACTATAAATCAATGAATAAAATCCGCTGTATCAGGCATTCTCAGATATTGTGCTTATGAGATGAGACGAAGTAAGATTGTACGAAGTAAGATTCTTTATTGAAACCCGTCAAATATGATTGTGAGAGTCAATCCGTCAGAATGAATAAGTTAGAATCAGTTAGAAGTTTCTATTTCTTCGATGTTGGAACAGACCACTTGTGCTCTAACCAGACGATGCTACTGGCTCATTACCTACCTCGTACAGGAGAAACAGTCTCCTCCCATGTTTCGAAGCGAATGTCAACCAGTAAGTACTTTATATATCTTTATGTCTTTGATACGCTGTCTTTATGTCTTCAAGCAGAGCTTTAACGTTATGCAATTTTGATATGCATAGCTTAAGATTCAGATAAAACAAAAAAGTCTACAAAACTTTTGAACACGTAATCATTTTGATCAGAACACCGTGATATATTTTGAATCTAAGTGGAGACACTATCTATTCTTAGGTTTACTTACCTTTTATATATGCATAATTCAATAAGAATGTTACATTGTGTATTTACTTTATTCAATATTTATAAACACTGGTTAGTGTGAATAAGAACATGACTTTAGTCAAACAAAATTATCATGTAAAAAAAATCCAGTAGAATTTCCTGATTTTAAGAAGTATCTTCAAATAACACTAACAAACAAAATGAGATTTCAAAAATTGAAATTTTCATTATGAAATATTAGTAAAAATTTCAAGTCTGTTCATTCCTATATAAGTTGACTACAGAAAATGTTATAAACTTTAAGATGAAACATGTTAACCATTTTGTAACTATTTATAGTTCATATTTGGAAATAGATAGATAGAAATTGGATTCAAATCAACTGATGAAATTAAAAGAAATATTGATTAAAAAAGTTAAGTTAAAAAAATGATTCTATAAGAGTCAAAATTTCATAAACTTATAATAAAATATTGAAAAATATTTTTAGAAAAACTGATATTTTTATAAATCAATAAATAATATTTTTGGGTGAGATTCAAAGGTAAGATAAACCTGTTTTTATGTATCCATTTATTCTAGATAAATAAAATTATATTTAAATATATTTTTTTGACCAAATTAGCGTAAGATTTTAAGACAATTATAGAAACAATAATATTATGATAAAATAATGGTATCAAAAAGACTTCTGTTGAAAAAAGATACTTAAGAATGGAAATATTATGATAACATAATGAGTAAAAGATCTAATTACTTAAAGATATATTACAATTCTTAATTTTTTGCAGTAAAATCAAAAACCATTATTTCTACTTTCCAATGGTCAAATCAGAATCAGGCTACTTAAATTCTTCAATTTTATCAGATAACAAGAATTTATGAAAAAAAAGGGAAAAATATATATAAATAATTTCAAATAATAATAAAAAATTCAAATTTATTCTAAATATGATCAAGAATAATTTTTATCCAATTAACTAGAAAATCCAAAACTACATGGAAATTTATTTCATATAGAGATAAAAAATTGTCAATAAAAAATTTTCTTTAAAGAAAAAAACGTATGTGTTAATTTTATTTTAAAAAAAATCAATCTAGAAATCAGCAAAAAACTTCAAATTAAATATTAAAGACATTTAGTACTTGATAGTAAATTTCAAATTTAAAAAATTTAAATATTAAAAATTCTTTCAGTAATTTCATGATGGTTATTGTTAACATATATATACATAACATATGTTTTTAATACATTAAAAGTTTTTTATAGATACAATGTGAATGAGGATGAATGAGTTAATTTTTTCCAATTGAATATATTGGAAAAAAGCAGATTGGTCAAATTTTTAAGAAAAATATTATCTTCATTTTTCAAACACAATCTTTTTGGATAGATATTTATTTTTCAGGTTTTTCAGAATGCTTTATATGCTATTCATATTCGTATCACTGGAATTTTCTTAATGATTTGTATAAAACTTATTTAATTCTTCATTCAAAACTTTGCTCACATCAAAGTATAAAATATCAAAAATATTAAAAAATATTTTGCTTCGCAAAATAGAATTTTAGAATATATAAATACTAGCATTACTTGTATATATTTTGAAATTCATGTAAGGAAGAACATGCTATCCTGTTGCTGTAATGAAAGTATGTAGATTTTATCTTCTGAAAATAAATTTTTGGTTAAAGAAAATCAATCAATAGAAACTTATTCCTTATTTAATTTAAAGTGATATTTCTTAAACTTCTGTTCTTATGTATTAGTGTTAATTCATCAGATGGAATTGATCAAACTTCACTATGAGATTAATTGATGCTACTATTTTGTAAGTTTGTTCAATTAATTTTAATTGAACAAAAACCTATCATGTTTATGCTTTCAGTTTTTCATTATGTTGTTTGAAGCTTCTTTCTTCAATTCTTATTATAATTTTATTATTAAAAATATAAATTGTACTCGGATTTATGATTTGCTAAGAATGTCTTGTTATATCTAGAATGCAAATGAAATAATTGTGAAATGTATATTCAAGACATAATCATTTACATCTTATTAGATTTTGAGTCATCATCTCATTATAAGAAATTGTCAAATTTTATCAAAAGAGAAGTACAGAACAGTATCCTCAACGAAACATAGTTATAAAAAGTCTTCTTAGTATATTTTGATTTAGGAATTTACTTGTTTGCACTAAACTGTGTTATAATTTGTGATCTATGTAAATCGTACCGAGTACTGGTGCTCTACATTATGTTTTTGCAAGGTAAATCACTAAAAAGATGTATGGAGACCCTAATACTCTCCATGAGGCATTCCTATAATAGGTATTTGATAATTCGGAGTTTTTGAAATGGTAACTCTACTAGTATCATCTATTATAGATGATACTGAAAATTTACTAACGCTGTCATAAGTTGAGCATAAACTGTATCTACATTTACAGCCTATACATCCTCTTGAATACCATGTACGGCTTTTCTCCGATTGCTTCTTACTGTCAGCTTGTTGTTTTTTACGGAGAGGAGAGAATGTTGAAAATCGCGCTGTGTGCCAGCGCTTGCTATATGAAGATTGGTCCGTCGGTTTTTTAGGTACTCTTTGACGCTGCATTGGGCCTATAACTTGACAGCCTTACAGTCATTTTCTTATTGGTCGTCACAATTGTAGGTAGCTTGTCTGATGTCGGTCGTATAGAGCGACAACACATAAAACAAGGGATGAAGAAACCAGTCCATGACTGAACATAAGTAAAATGCTACCTTCAATTCCCTGTATTTAGACGAAAACTGAATATTACGAACATAAATTTCGACCTTCGACATGACAAAAGGGACTTTACATGTATGCACTCATGGACAAGAGGTCTACGTAATTATTATCTCCATAATCGAGTAGTATAAAACTTACATGTTATATAAAGTACAACGTTATATTGTTACTGTAAGGTTTGCGTTGATGGCCAAACTGGCAGCTGATTCGTTTAGAGTAAAGTGAGCGTGAAAATTATTCTTCTTGGTCTTCACGAATCAGATCCGGTGTTGCCATCAAGATATTGGAGCCCGCATAACTGTCTTTGAAATAGTCGCAGATTGTAAAATCGCGACGACTATGGCGTAAATATGTGACAAAGTCTCCATCACGTCAAACTGCTACTAGATTAAAATTTTGTCGCCCACCGGTGACCGCACTCAGCGCTCGAGCAAACAAGAAAGAGAACAAGATGGGCTTCGTTGCATCCTTCACCCCTGACAACAGACTGGCATATCATGCACAAACAAATCTCAGCTTCACCACCCGTCCACTAAATGGCGTAACTACATTCAGCAATTAACAGTATGCTGATATAACTAGATATGACAGGTTGCGCCTTGTCATCCAAGATACTCTCAGACTATATGATAATCTGCTGTTCAATCTTCTCAAAAGTTCACTCTTCTCAAACTTGAACCTTGGGACAACTGCAGGGTAAACTGCCCAGCCGCAGGCAAGAGTAAAGGCTTCGCTGGAAGGTCAACGTCTAACAATAAGGAAATTAAATCTGGGAGGAGAGATCGAGATACCTTGAAGAAGGTCGCTTCCCAATTCTTACATTTTACACACTGAACTCCTTTGGAGCATGGTAGAACAGCGTTCTTTTTGACCGCTGGGGACTCACCAGTGACGGTAGTTCGGGACTTGCTCAAGAAGAAGATGTTATTCTCAATCGGGATCTGCAAAATTTTAGAAACCGTTCAGGTCCACAGGACCGGGGGCACGATTGCACGAGGGCAAGTGCAATCGTGCGTAAGTGCAAACGTTGATCTTGAGCTCGGGAACGCGCAAGACGTAGGAGACAAAATACCACATTTCGTCATGGTTGTAAGAGTTTCAGATGAGCTGAAGTAAAGCTGACAGTCTGGACGACTGGGAAGGACTTAGAGTTCACAAACGATCGGGTGCCCTCGATGCACATACTATAAAAGAAATCGTCTACACGCCAGATAACACACAAAAGGAATGAATGGACGCGCTAGTCGATAGACTAGTCCTTGTAACCTGATAGCTGCAATGGCTGCAAGCGTAGAGTAGGCGGCGCTCCACTTTGTCTTCTTTGGGATTCAAGAGTTGATCACTGGACCAGAATCCAACCACAATGGACAAGTTCAGCACATGATTGACGATCCTTTTCAACAGCGTTGCATGAAGTTCTACGTTCTTGCTGCAGTTGTAGCACAGGAGTATAAGCATGTTAAGCATTAAACAACGCTGTTTGAAGAACTCGGTGGTGAAAGCGGAGCGGAGTGAGTATGCTGTAACTGTAAAAGCCAGAGCCAGTATTTTAGGACGTAAGAGTAATCAACAGCATGAACAATAACAAGACACAGATGAAGGTCGAGATATGGAAAATGCAGAAATATTGCCAAGCGTTGTCGTCTTAGTCCCTCGTAGCTGCATATTACCACTTCGGACATATCTTCACTTTCTCCATGTCTCTGATTGACAATACTGATGCCGCGAAATCCAAGTGATATCCAAGTCGATTTTTCTCTCCTCCTGTGCTTTCGAAGGACATCACCTGCGGAGTCTTTGCTACTGCGGTATTGAACGTAAACTGTCAGAATGCTTCCCATGCATGAATGGAACTTCTCAATGTATTACCTTGATTTGTGAGCGCTGCAAGTACGACATCGTCATTCTGTTTTGTAATATGCAACTCATCAAGGGATGCATCTCTTCAAAACACGTGGTATATGAGACCTGTCGCGCACGTGCGGATGTGATCTACTGTTACTCATCGGTAAAAGTATAAGCTTTCGAATCTATCTCGGTTACTCCAATTTCGGTAGAGATTGAGTTGGTAATTGTAGATTCAATGTTCAGAGTCTGGAGAAAGATAGATGTAGGTGGACGTCGATGAATTCCTCACAGTAATACTTTTCCCCTTCCCCTTCCAGCGCATGATGGAACCGTAGTCGAGATTTCTCGTCGGCTTTCGAATCTGGATTCTGGGAGTCTTGAAGGTACTAACTAATCAGTGGGACTCATGTTGAAATCGCGCTCCAAGACTTCCAGTTTCCATACCTGAAGTTAAAGTTTTTATGATGATAGCTTGCATGCCCCTCTGCTGGCAGACATCGATCACGTGAATGAAAGACTTCTGATCCTCCGAGATTTTTCTGCGAAGAAGGCGCGACTGTGCTCCGTACGTACTGATCATACTAGCTTCAGGTGGACAGCTGTTTTGATTCGGCCTCCAACTAGACTAGTAGCAGTAGTAGCCTGGTTAGAGTGTCTTCCAAGTTGTCAAGTTAAAAAAAAAAAGACGAAGGATAAAGGCCAAAAACATTGGTTAAATACCATCTTTTTCCCTCTAAAGATATCAATAATCATCAACTGAAAGTGATTTCTGTCTTATGTGTTGCACCCATCAGTGCTCCAGTTGGAGAATTGGTTAAGTACTTTATTAAGATCTTTAAAATATATAATATATAATAAGGAAGTAATATATTTCTCTTCATATGTCTCTGCTTAAAAATATTGGTGGCTTTATTCTCACTCACCTCACATAATGGAATATGTACAATAGCACACTATTAAGCTGCATCACGCACTTCCATAACCATTCCAGAAATCATAGAATTGTGTAAATATATATTATAGCACAAATTCTAAATTTGATTCGATTTTGTCAATGCAAACACCAACCCTCTAATAAAATTCTGGGAATTAGCTCCTTTCGGTCAAGTTAATTTGATGAGTTTCGATTTCACCTATAAATATGAATTAAGATTTAGATGATTCAATCAAGCAAAGACAAACCTTTTCATTCTGTAAAAGAGGTAGATGATCAATGTTCAGAATCCTCATGCACAGTCAAAAAAAAGATTTGAGTAAAAATAATTTATTCAATAACATTTGCACATCTTATAAGCCATGTAAGTAGGTCTAAATTTTGGAAAGAAGATAGTGGATTATTTGAAATCATTTTTCTAAATATTTTTGAAATACATACAGTTAGTTTCTCTTTTTCTTACATACATCATTGCACAAGTTACAAAAAGATAAACTTTTTTTTACTCCATTCAAAAACACTCCTTCAGAAATAGAACATGTCATAAACATCACCATGTTCACATCATATGATCTTGTGTCATTTCATGCTAATACATTTATATCATCATCTAACAAATGTATGGATTGCGCATGTCACATTTACGAATAAGATATTATAAATCAACTCTTTATCGTCATCTTCATCTTAATTTTTCTCTATTTTTATTTTAACTAACTAGAAATGATCACAAAGATACAACGTGCTTTTGAAAAACATGTTCAAACTGTTCGTGTAAAACCAAAGAAAGACACATCAACACAGAAATAACGTGGTTGACCCTTAGGAAGAGTACTACTTCCACCGAGAATTCTCAGCACTTTACTCCAAATCTTCTTATAAAGATGTCAATATACAGGGAGAACCCCGAGTTATTTATTCCCATTCCATGCCACCGTCCTAGCTATAAATAGCTAGGATCCGAGGTTACTCCTTAACTGGAGTTAACCTCAACGCAAACTCTTAAATTATAAAAAATTCATTCATTGCTTTAAAACTGTTTCTATTTAACACTCATCATCAAACTTGATGAAATATAAGTATGAGATAAATAGAAAAAACTTCATGAATATCAAATTTGTATATGCAATCTTTGAAATTGTAATCTATTTCACTTATATTATTGAATCTAAAATGAATAATCATAAATCTAGGAATTTAGTAATTATTTCCTAGTTAATAATCAATGAGATATGCATGGATTTTTTACATCATTTCATTATTTCAATATAATCATTCAAAGATGTCAAAAAAATATTTAATACATACAATTTTTGAAATCAAACTTCTTGATTTTCTTAAAAGAGGTATTGGATCCAATGAATTTTTAAATATTTTATTTTATTTTCCTTTAAGGTCAAACCACCTAACCAATTTCAAACAAGATGTGGAGAATTATCTGATCTAAGTCGTATTCATATTTCTATATATGTGAGGATAGTTGGTGAAAATATGGCAGTTTATTGTTTTTTTAAAATGATCTTTAGATTAGATTAGGTAATATTTCCTCAGAATACACAGAAATAACATCCAGATGTTCATCATCAAGATTTTATTTTCAAACTGGAAAATCGTGTTTGGTTATCTACAACAAATTTTTCTATATAAATAACCAAAATTTAATATCAATCCATTGATCATTATTTGTATAAAAGATTTTCTGCCTCATATCCATAAGTGGGTAGAAGTATCGTGCAAAAAAATCACAAATTTTGTTCAAACTTTGGTGACTGTAATTCCTGTTTATGAGTCTTTTCTTCCTTGTACAAGCAACTTGATACTTTCTTCATTTTTGACCTTAGTTATTTTGATAAGCAAGGGTTCAAGGTGACATGCACCAGTGCATTGTGCTATAATTTTCAACTCATTGTCCGTGTTCCTGATACTGAAAAAGTGATTCATGATCGTCGTTGTCTTCTTGCTTGTGATATGGGCCCATTGAGATTTGGAAGTAGATACATCTTTCTTGTAGCATCTCGTAGTAGTACTCCAGGTTGTACTCAAAAGCTTAACAATGTAAAATTAAATCATTAAAAAATAGAATGAAGAACCTATACTTTAAGGTTTCCACTTTACGCAATGGTTGAAAGTACCTGTCTGCAAGAAGTTGGATAGGTCTTTATTTGCATGACAATATTACCAACTTTGCTTTGAATTATCTCCTTATAATTTATGCAGTTATAGATTTTAATTTGTTTTCTTTCATGATATAAACAAGTCATCTCATGAGGTAAATTGTGTCATCACACACAAAATACTGCAATTCAATAAGTTTTCAAATGTTATCAAAATTATTTATTGTAATCTAGACGCAACAAATGTTCACATGAATCTTATTATATTTTTGTAAATAATATGATATTTTTCATGATACCACTAAAGATGTAGCGTGATGTTGGGTAAGATCGTACATATCACGCATCATCATATGATGTCTTGTACATGTGAGATATACAATTTGAAATCCTATGTCTCACATGTACAAGACATCGATGTGCGATAAGGATTTATATGGATCAACATGCATACTTCCATTCTGATATCAATGAAACTTAGGTTCTGATAACTACTAGTTTTATTCCTTCTATTTCTTAAATTAGTCTTTTCATTACTTTTGCTATCCATTTATCTTGTACTCTATAAACCCTGTTGTGAAATACGATGCAAAAATTTGAAGTGATTTTCGTAGAACCAACTGTTTTGGATTCGATGATTTTAGTTTTTTTTTTTTCATTTTTAAGTTACGTTAAGTACAATATGTGGGTTGATTATTGCGAACATGAAAACCAGATGAAGTGTTGTATGCAAGATATTTGTATTAATAGGAATGTAGAAATGGCCTGTATTACTTTTCACATACAAGAAAACATATCATCATATACTTCATGATACCATCAACAATCTAATTGATGATGCAATCTAATTTGAAAATGTTGATAAATTATTATAAATTCTAAATTCTTTCACAGATGAATATATATCATGAATTTCATGGATCACAATTGTAAAAATCAATAAATAGAAATTTAAAACAAAAGTAATTTATAAATCTTGCAACATCAACTCCTCTATCCATCTTGACAATAAATTATGAAAAAATCAAGATAGACAAGAAACTCAAAAAATTTATTTGAACTTATAATTTAAACTACTTTTTTTGACTTATAAAAATACTATCTTGATATCAAGAAATTTAAAAACTAGGAAAAAAATCTAATTAATTCACTTTTGATTGTTATGATTCTAAATGTTTTTGCAACAAGAATGTTGCATATACATTCAAATTTTTAAAAAATATATAATCACAAAAATGAAACAAAACTACATTGAAATTTTGTATGCAATAAAAGAAAGTAAATCTAAAATTTAAAGTAATTAGAAAGACATATATTTAATAACTTTTTTCATGATAAAATGAAGATATTTAAAATAGTACCAAATATTATTTGTAATTGAAAATCTATAATTTTCATGTCAACAACCTATATGATGAAAGGTAAAGATTTGACTACGTTAGTTGAGTTCAACACATAAAAAATCTATGAATTTCTTAAGTTAAGGTTTAGTATTTAAGACGAATTTGACTTGTTTTGTGATGTCTAAGTCAATTTTCATTAAAATTTAACTCCGACAATTTATTGGTAGCTTATCATGATTCTAGAAGACAATGATTAATATTTGATGTCATATGAAATAATTTTTCATATAATCTCTACACTCATCATGCAAATCCAATCACTCATCAACATTCCAAGATGATATTAAAACGCAATCTTCTATTGATGAAACTAGTTTTCACAGAATGAATGCTCTAAAATTGCTTAAGATTTTTTTTTACCTCTTTATTTATACTTATTAAGAAATTATCATAGTCACACAATAATTATCAATTCATTAAATTTTTCTAACATCATCTTAGATTTGACTAATACTAAATATTTGTCAACATATTATAGATATATCTTAATGTTTAAATTTTTTTTTCCTAAGTTAAGATTACAACATGTTGTTGTGAACCTTGAGATATCTAGAACCTTCATTTGCCAGGAATTCAACTTCAATTGTAGTGTAATCAATAAAATTTAATTTACATAGTCAAACTAATCAAAAATAACATGCAATCACAAAAAATTCCTTAAAATCCACATTTTGATAGGTGAATAAATCCATTATTTGCTCAAAAATTTTAAAAATAATATTAATTATCCCATCAAGTATTTACTTCATAGCTAAACCTAGTCAAAACTATTTAAACTTTGTAATTATTAAGCTAACCATGATCAACTCTTTCATAGATTATCTTAATAATTCACATATAACTATAGGTCCTACATTTTTCTTCACAATAAGGTTTTATTACATCT